CAGAACATTCCGGCCTTTTACTTCCCTCCTGAATGCACCGTCCTCATCATCACTGATGATGATGACTGCAGATGTGACAATGCTATTGCCTGCATGCCTTGCCACATAGTCTTCGGTGAACAGACTGTATAATGGGCTACGGCAGCAAGCCTGCGGCAAACCGGTGCTGAGGATCAATGTGGACGAGGTTCTGTTTCCGATTCTCACTGCCTGTGGCCTTTTAGTCAGAAAATCAAATACCCAGCCACAGATGAAGCTGCACAGACAAAGGACTCTGAGTTTTAACACAAGTTTTGATGAAGAAATAGGGATGAATGTAGAGTTGTCGTCAACGAACAGCACCCTGACATAGATGTTCTTGCTTTAATGTTGTTACAGAGCCGTGTGTAGGACAAAAGGGTGGTGGTATCTTCCATAGACACGCGGCACCTGTAACTTAAATCCGGGGTATCATTATTCCCATAGAACAAGACTAGTCTTCAGAAGCACTTCGTCATGATGGACGTGGGAGGTGAGACAGTAAACACTGAGGCAGGAGACGAGGTTTCTTTGGCACGGGTGTGACTGTGTTCTTAAGATGGACAATTTCAAGACATTTGCGAACACCTCTGCGTGTCTTGAAGACGTGACACAACGCTGTCAGGACCAGTGGCATTACAAGAGTTCAGACATTTAAAAGTTAAAAATTTGTCACATGCAGTGCAGCTCCGTGGGAAGTAAACATAACCTCTTCTGCTGGATTTGGGCTGTGGCTTTCAATCCAAGATTAAAGGTTGTATACCACATCAGGGAGCGAGGCAGTGGTGTCCGCAAGCACTGCCAGGATTTTGTAGCTGGTGGGTATTGCTTACAGTGCTTTCCATAACAAGAGGGATCACAGCTGCTGCAGTTATGTATTTCAGACTCATACAAAGTGTATTTTGTGGCCCAATTCAAGTCTATGTCGTCAATCAGCTGTTTGTTAGTTTCTGGAATGTTTCCAGCGTGACCTGGAGGGCTTGGGCAGACTGAGATAAACCGTCAAACACCTGCAGCTCGTCCGCCTATCAGCTGCGAGCCTCCTGACGCCCTGATTGGTGAAAACTGCTCTGCACGGAACTGCGTGACATGTGGCAGGTAGAGAAAACGGCAGCCTTGGCAGCCAGCGTATCTCTGGGAGTCCGCATACCTCATCTGCAAAGCATGCTGGGACTTCATGAAGAGGCATAGATCCGCAAAGGAAGCAGGGGCTGAACACGGAATGGCAAGAGAAACATGTGGCATTTTCCAGACATACAAAGATATGAGAAAAATTATTGTTGTGTGTTTTAAGCAAGATTTAGCTGTTAAGGTTCAGTGCTCTTGGGTAGAGTAGTCAGAGGCGGACTGGCAACAAAAAGCGGGCCGGGAATTTTCTGCTGATCGTGGGGGGGGGGTCAATCACAATCAATCGATTGGCAACCAATGAAATAAAGCATTACCCAGAAACCATCTCCTGCGATCGACTGACAGGCCGGGCACCCCTGGTATATAAGCTGTATAATGTATATCATGCTGGGGTTGGCGACGAAAGGGCGGCCTCACAAAATCAGGCCACCCGGAACATTCCGGCATTTCCTGATGGCCTGTCCCTGCCTGTGTGTGACACTGCATAACACTATCATTAAATGGCTGCAAGTGAAATTTGGTAGAAACACTTTCGAAAGCTGAACCATCAGATGACAAGCTAATGAAATTTATGTAGAAAGTGATTATTTCTTGCCCCTTGTTATCATTTTTTTGTCTTTATAATGCTTGGAAATGTAACTCATACAATACACAATTCACATTGACTTGGTCTGAACAGATACCAGAATAAGATCTAGTGCATACAGTATATACTAAACTAGACAATGAGCCTTTTTTATGCAAATTGCAATATTTAAGCATATCCATCTCTAACCCATCTCTCAACTTGAATCCGTTTTTTTTTGTTCTCTATATAATGTAGCAAGACACATATTGCTTTAATCAGGCATTTCTCAGTGTGCCTCTCGCTACTTCTACGGCTGCGTGGGCAAACCTTCCACGGCGATGCAGACAGTCCTTTGCTAGTCTGCACACACCTCCATATTGCGTAGAATGTTCTGTGCTGATCCCATGTTAAGATAAGGCACCGGCCCTTTGCATATTTGGCCTGCACATTGCCGGCTGCTGAAAGTCTGTCTGTCGCTGTACAGCCGCGTGCAGTGAGGTTCGGCTTTGTGTTCCGCGTTTGGACAGAACAAGGGAGCGAGAGCGAAAGCAGCAGCCGCTGAGGGTCCGCAGACTGGAATTAATTTCTTCTGCTGATAATACCATCGACCCGAGAGTGGAATTGTAGGTCAGAAAATGTCCTCAGACGATTAATTAGAAACCAGTGTATCACAAGAAGTCTGGGTTTGTAATCATTTTTTTTTTTTTACTGGACACAATTAATAAATTATAATGAGAACCATTAAGCATTGCAGTATTGATGTTGTGTTCAAATAACTATAATTGTAGAAGATTCACTGTCATTTATTGTCTACCAGATACTGCCATTATAAGCAACAAAACCATGTGTTTCGTGTTCGTGTTCCTGTTCCAAAAAAGGCTTTCAGCCACCTGTGGAATATTGGCTGCCAGTTCGCCACAGCCTCTGGAAAGCATCCTTAGTGAATTCACAAGGAAGCAAATTAATATTGCCCAGTACTCTGAATGCCTGTAATGAAGCGTCACGCCAGCCAATTCTGTTTGTGCACTCCAAAGCTAAAAGAAAAAAAAAAACATTTTCATTTCCTGGAGTACTTACGCTAAAAGCAGAGGCAGAGGTGTACTAATATATGAAGATGTCAAAGAGAGCGGTAACTAAGTCAAACGTGAAAATGGGTGTAGCATTCGTTAGCACTCTCAACTGTAGAGACTCCCTATATACTGTAAGTGAAAGCTCTGTTTGGTAAACAGGGAAAATATCTGTTTCGCCGATTAACAAAACTAAGAATAGTGATTGCAGCCTGTGCCGCTTAGTCTGAGTGTTCAGTACTCAACGAATCTGAGCTGACTGGTAACACAATGGTCACAAATAATGTAGTAATACACTCTTACTTAAAGCATCAATTAACCAGTAACTAAGTGTTAGTTACATACTAAGAATCAGATTTTAAGTATTTTAAGTTACACAAGGAATTTGGTTCCGGCTGTTGGTGTCTCTCACATTAGACAGACAATATGCAGACAATGAACATATAATTTACAGACAATTCACAATATACAAGCCATTTACAGATTAAATACAAGACAAGTGATATAGTGCCATCAGCAATACTGATTATGTATAGGAATGATATTGTACAATGCAGTATTTGTAAATGTGAGGCTGTGGTATAGTATAGTATAGTATAGTATAGTATAGTATAGTATCAAACATAGGAGCATGTTCATTCATCATTAATCATTCATCACTTTTCATATATTTTATGCAAGCACTGTATTACTTAATTATTTGTTCCTGAGTAGTACCTGAGTAACTAAGTTATTTGTGCCCCTTCAAGTAATGTGTTACCGAACTAATTTCTACCTATGTTGTCATGCAAGTTCTTCATATTGTTGACAGTAGCTGACGTTTAAGCAATAATATTCCCACTCTTTTTGCTCCTGTAACATTTTAAAATGGTGTAATGAAATGGTTTACTCATGAATGTTCTTTTCTAGCGGATTTAAAGCATCTTTTAAAATGAAAATAGAGGTTTTACGTCTTTGCGTATCTGGCACAGCATTTGCATGCCTTGATGGGAGAGAGAGAAAAAACCCAAAGCGAACTGTCTTTGCTTCTTACAGGTACGAGCTGGCAGAGCTTGTTCACGTCTGATTGCCAAACGGGGATTTGCAGGTTCTGAGAGCCGAGGAATCGGGGGACAAGCGTGGCAGAGCTGAATTCTCACAGCCCTGGGGCAGGAACGAGCTGAGCTGCTTGCTTGGATATTGATGTGGGGGGGGGGAATGTACCTTAGTGTAAAGTAAATAAAGACAAAACCGTAATTTGTGGTAATTTAAAGGGAAGTTAGATTGGCTGGAAGCTTTCAGCAGAACATATCCACAAATCTTCGAGGCTGAATTACCGATTCCAAATTGGCAAAATATACAGTTGCTCTCACCAGTGAATTAGCCTTAATGACTTGATTTCCTGCTAGTTTGAGTCCCGTCTGTGATTGCTGTCAAGGGCATTCTGCTAATTTATTATCTTTCTGATCGTAAAAATAATATTACATCATCGACTAATGGATCTGATTCCAGTCCCTGCCAGAAGTCAAATAAGCAGAGTTGGCAACTTTGGTGAGCTGGCTGACATGAGATTTTCAACTTGAGACACGTCTGCACACATGTTTACATGCATGTAATAGTTGTATTACCTTGTAAAGAGTCTGTAGGGTTTGCAAAGTACCCCAGTGCTTTTCATATAGCTAATTTTAGGTTTATAATAGAATGATATAGATTTGTCGCAGGATTTCTTGTGTGTGCACGACAGTCAGAAAGTGTGAGTGTCACGCCCAATGCGTGAGTTGGCAACCTTGTGAATAAGGCATCGACAAGACAATGTGTGAAGGAAATTGATTCAAGAGAAACCGACTGTCTTTTTGCCATATAAATATATTCAGAGTTCCAGTCTTGTCACCGATGCAGAAGGGAATGCTGGTGTGATCCCACAGGTGTCCCCTTTTGTGTCCCTGGCTGCTCATCGTCATTCTTCCGAAGCCGCTCAGCCAGCAATGTGGAATGTGTGTTTCACTAGCATGCCGTCGCTCGCAGCAAAGCATACAATGCAAGCTCTTAGAGACACGTAGAATCGCAAATCTGCTTCCACGCTCCCTTCTGTCTCATCCCTGCACGTTTTCGGTTGTCTCTCAGCAGCTGGATGTCTTAATACGACTTTCGCTGAGATGAAGACGGACTTTGGTCAACTCGCTAATTTTAGCATTATGCTAACTGGCGTCCAGTCTCACAGCTGTCAATTTCTCTTACAGCCACGCTGGGGACGCTGGATTTCAGTCTGCTGTACGACCAGGAAAACAACGCCCTGCACTGCACCATCAACAAGGCCAAGGTAGGGGCAGGTTAATGTTTCAGATGCACGCGGTGCGTCTCCAGCACCAATCAGGGTAAGTGCTCATACCCACCAGCATTTTTACTGCTTCGCATTCATTTCAGCTTCATTCATTTTTTCCGCCTTTTGTCTCGAACGAATAATTTGACCTTCAGACACCTCCAGCAGCAAAATAAAAGCTTTCTTAGCAGGGAATCTTCCCTATAAATAAGCCATCAAAAGAAACATTCCCACATTGCACTGAAGAATTACACCCAGGGGTGTGTGTCGATAGCGTGCATCGAGAAAACGTAGGGAAGCCTTGTGAAGCACACCCTCCCATCTAATTAAACGGCCTGTTAAAACAGACAGCGTGCAGTAAACCAATGCAGCCTTCAGCCCTTAATTCTCTCATGCCCATGAATCATGATGCTTCCCCTGTTACAAGTCACAGCTTTTGGCCCTGGACCCACACAGGCTGCAGGGTGCAGTGCATGCTGGGAACTGTTTATCTGCTGACTTCCTTCCTTCCATTCAGCTGAGCAAGTCATAAATTAACTGCAACTGTGAAGTCTTGGGAGCGAAATCTTTTCAGTTGGAAATCATGGTGTTGTCCTCCTAAATTTGAATTTATGTTAAAACATCTTTGCTAGGATTTTCACACAGGTTTAGTCCGGTTTTGTGTAAAATATAGTTGACTGCAATACCCCCCTTCCCCCACCCCGATCTCTACACTGCATGGCATAAACTCCCACCTTTGACTACGGGAGTTGGCCTGCCTCTGGCCAAAATTGAGTTTTTTTTTTAATCAATATAGATAGTGGACTGCTAAAGAAAATCACTCCCCTGCCTTTTCTTGAATGTAGTTGCTTCCAAATCCTGCAGCAGATGGTGCGTGTTCCAGATTAGCACTGAGGAATTGCCTGTGTGTGTTTGTATTTGTAACCACGATACACACAAGGTGGCACAGAAGGACACCAGTGCCATAAAACAGGCAGACAAATGTAAATATAAGGCCATAATAAAAGCCCGGAGAGTTTGCTAAATCAGTTTGTTTCATAATACTGTTATATTGGACTCACTTTGAGCATCTTTAAGTCTGTTGTGGATAGAAGGAAAATACCTAAATGTATTGATGTGTATGTATTTTCAATTAGCTGTGTGTTAATTTTTCAGCTTTGCTGGGCATTTATATTTCAAGGCTGTAATGATTCTGCTGACATTTCAAAAATCAAAAAGCAGAAGCAGCAATACTTGACCCTTTGCATCCCTAACCGGATTATTGAAATAATTGAGCACATTGTGGTGCCTGAGGTCCGTCTACAGCGCCCCCCTCAGCCCGGCGAGCCTGGCAGTCATTTATGCTGCCCTAAGGGCGTTGACCCTGCACGGTATCTGGCTGATACCCTGATACTGGCCTTAAAAGAACGATAAATCTGTGATACAGTCCTGCCTCTTATTTAAGCGTTCCCAAGAACACAGGAAAAATACTGTTTCAGTCCAAGGCAGGAAGAACATTACAAAACCTAATTTTATTCAATGTAATATCTCGTAGCTCACTACACAGGGACCTCAGTAATAGAGAGCTTGGATTTTAAGTGTCCCCACCTTTTTCCAAAAAGGGTATTTTCCTTGACACGAGGAGTGTCTGTCGGCATCGGAATCAGTAACACTCCTGTGGAGGGACATGCCCAGAGCCAGAGAGTCTCTGCGGTCCCTGTCACACGAAGCATTATCACAAATGACAGCAATAGAGTGCAGGGAGACAGACTCTCTGGAATCATCTAAGAAAAGTGGCCTTTGTTAAAACCCTTAGCTCCTCTGTTTATTAATTTGAGCGATGTTTTTTGGCACGTCTTGAAATGCAAATTTGATATATGAATATTTCTCTCAATATATATACACACACGTATGAATATGAATGCATGTATATGTGTATGTATGTATGTGTGTGTCTGTATACACACGCTTGCTTAATTCAGTACAAATATTGCAAATGTATTGGTTTTATAACAAGATTCATTATTTAATTCATTTGCATTAAATCATATAAGAAAAAAAACAGTATTTTTCAAGTAAAACATTCATTTCAAGTAGTAATAAATTAAAACCCAAATTATACTTCAGAAAGAGCTGTTCTGAGTTAAAAAGTTCATTGCCAAGCAGTCTCATTGGGTGCTTTTTAATAAGTAACACCTTTGCAATAACATTAAACACCAAACATTTGTGTTTAGTTTCCCTATGGGAGCCAATGACTACAACTGCAGTTAATATCAAAATGGTAAGAACAGAACTGAATGAGTCAGTCAGAAACATTATGATACATAATAAAAAGAAAATATCTGTGCAGGAGATAAGTGCTGAATGTGTTAAACGTTGCTTGTCAATGGACTTTTGTTATGAAAGCAACAAGTTTGCAACATTTTTACAGAATTAAGCATCCCAAACCTTCCTGTAAGTACTGTATGTATAGTGACATAATTATGTTTTTAATAATAATATATATTAAAACACTGTTAGACATGATACATTTAACTTTACTGCACATAATTTATGATGCAATGTACACATTTTTTTAGTAATTAACCTCAAGTGATTAGTCACTGCTAATGCACTGTGGCCAAATAGTCTGTCAATTTCCGAAAGTCTCCCTTCAATACCGTATTCCTCAGAACCCATGCCGGAACAATCTCAGGTACACTTCTCTTCACACTGAGATCTGGATTCCTGACAACCTCCCACCCGACTGGGCCTTCAGAAATTCAGAGCCCACCACATGAAACAAGGCCTGCAGACATGGACTTGATGTCAGTGTGTGGCACAGCATTCACACCCGCGCATATTCACACGACACGCATCATAGAGGGAGAGCAGCGTAAGGCCGCCAATTCACCCAGCAGGAATAAAACCAGTGTTCCAAGAGAAAAGCCATACCAAAAAGGATGGAAAGCTCCGGTCCAGAAAGTACAAATCCACACCCAGGTTTATGTTTCAACCAACCAGTGCTCTGTGTCTGTGACTTTTTAAACTAAACTGGTTGGTTGAAACAAAACCTGGGTGTGGATTTGTACTTTCTGGGCCTGAACTTTCCACCTCTGCGTACAAGTTAGAGTTAGAACGTTATAAGAACCAACATCCCTAGATGTAACCATCAATGGACACTGTCCCGCACAGTCTGGATGTCAACATCACATTCAGCACTTGTATTAAACAGTAGTTTTTAACTCCTGATCTTTAATTGCCGTGATTAGAGTTCCCTAGTCTATCTCAGGCTGAAAAAAAATAATATTCGAGCAATTAATGTCCATTGACAGTTTCTACATCCCGCAGTCTTAAGGTGATGATACACAGGGAAACTATTGGAGCAATGTTGCCAGGCAACTGCCAATCAGGTGAGACAAAGGGCAAAGGATTTCTTGAGTTTCTTATATGTACACAGCACATCCAGTTAAAATGCAGTGCTGTCCAGTGTTTGGCTTTTGAATGTAGATGAGGCCTCACTGTGTAAATGTAGCTGCTGGTCTGTTACTGCTTGTAGCCAGTGATTGTTATTAATTGTCTTGTGATCTTCCTCATGGCATTACGATAAAAGTGGGAGTCAAATCAATTCACAGCCAATGGGCTTTATTGTCATACCATCCATATTCAAGTATGCAGTGGCACAAAAAAACGTGCATTGAACATGCACTTAATGACTGGAATGATCCTTATTGTAAGGTATTAGCCTTTAATGAAATAAAAGTTTCACATTTTAAATAAAACTTTAATTAATAATACAATTTAATTATTTGACCAATTATTTTTTTCCTGTATTTGACTATAATAAAAGTAAAAGTCACTGTTCGTACGATTGTCCCATTGTGGTATAAAAATTTATGCATGCATTAAATTTGACATCCCTAGTTTGTCTATATAATGCAATGTGTATGTAAACAAGAAATAATACAGCAACATAGCAGGGTGGAATGTGGATTGAACAGGTGGACAAATGGACGCATCTGCTTAGGGCAGTGCGGTGTTGATTTTACAGTTTGGCTCATAGAGGACAGTGCGGACCACCAATAGCATCAGGAAAACACATTAAGAAAATTCCTAGTGCATTTCTGGTTCAGCAAAGCTATTATGCCGATGGACCAGAGACCATCAGGCCAACACGCTTGATTAAAAGCTCGTAGCAGCCTTTGTTTGTGCCGGTACTGTAATCAATAGAAAGAAATTGCCATCCGCTGTCAGAACAATCAAAAGGAGCCGGGCCGCGTCTGACTGTTGTCCTGTCCCTGCTGGGCTCTGAGGCTGACTGGCTCCTCCCACCTCGGGTCCCCTGATTCTCCTGGGTCTGCACTGGCTCATTAGTGCCCCTGTTTGTTCTGAGCGACCACAGGCCAACCTCTGCGCAGTGGTTTATGATGTCGAGCCTCTGGCTCTCCCCTTACTGACAGTGTGCTTGTTATTGTTGTCCCTGTAACAGCATAAGTACTGTATCTAGCACTCAATGGACTAATGTTTTAAAAAAACACTTTCTAAGTATTTTCGATATTATGTATGTTTATGTATACCTATGATACTGTACACTGTACTGTGTGTTTATATGTAATATCATACTTTTGCTTATTAATGTAACAAGATATAGAACAAAATTCTTCAACGCACCCTTCAGTTAAAACTATTACTGGTTTGAACTCAAACTAACCCGGAATTGAGAATGAAAATAAAAATAACCAAAAATGAAATGGCCGTGCGACAGGTATCACATGCAGGTGAGTGTAAGCAATACTTTTAAAAATCGATATTAGAATCCAGTGAAGAGTTATTAGATTGAGAAGCAAGGAAGGTCTTCTCTATTGCCTCTTTGTGTCGCTTTGATTTATAGGTTACCAGTTGTTGAGGTCGGTAAATAACGTTGTTTGTCTATGCGTTGTTGGATATATCGCGTGTTTCTTAGCCAAACTCCCTGTAAATCTGGCCCATCCTGTCTGTAGCGCTGTGCTGTCGTCTCAGACGAAGGAGCCTTTGCATCAGTA